CCCTCTCCTCCATGATATTCTTTTTTCTTTAGGTTTAGTGGACACTACTACCTCCTGGTTCTCCCCCTCCTTATCTGACTGCTTCTTTGCTAGATCTTCATCCCAGTCACTGCCTCTAACCATAAGTGTCCTTCAGGATTCTGTCCTGGGCCCTCCTCTTTTCCTTCTAAATTACTTCACTTGGTATTCCCATCAGCTACACAGATTTAATTACTACCTCTATGCTGCTGATTCTCAGACCTACCTATCCTGGTACAAACTCTCTACTGACCTCCAATCTAGCATCTCCAACTGCCATTCAGACATTTCAAACTGAATATCCAATATTAAACTCAACATGTCCAAAGTCAAACTCATCTTTCCCCCAAACCCTGTCCTCCCTCTACCTTCCTTATTACTATAGAGGTATTACCATCCTCCCAGTCCCTCAGGCTTACAACCTAGGAATCAATCTCAACTCATATCTCTTACCCCCCATTATACAATTTGTTGCAAAGGCCTATCTCACCTTTGCAACACCTCTAAAATATTTCCCCTTCTTAGCATTGTAACAATGCTAACACTAGTATGGATCCTTATCATCTCATTCCAGGACTAATGTAATAGCCTTCTGGTGGGTATGCCTGCCCCTGCCCCAAGTTTCTCCCCATTCCAATCCATCCTCCATTTAACCACTAAAGTGATTTTTCTAAAGTACAGATCCAACCACGTCCCCAACCCCCAATAAACTCCAATGACTCCCTACTGCCTCCAGGATCCATTACAAAATACTCAGTCTGGCATTCAAAACCCTTCATATCTAGCTCCCTCCTACCTTTCCAGTCTTCTTATACCTCACTCCCCAAGATATATGCTTTGATCTAGTAACACTCACCTTGTTACTGTTACTCGAATAAGACACTCTCTGGCTTCCTCTAAGTCCCAACTAAAATCCACCTTCCACAGGAAACCTTCCCCAACTCCTCTTCATTCCAGGGCTTTCCCTCTTTTAATTATTTCCTATTTATCTTGTATATAGCTTGCTTAGTATATATTTGTTTGCACATTGTATCCCCTGTTAGCCTGTAAGTTCTCTGAGGACAGTGCTGACTTTTGCCCCTTTTTGTATCTCCAGCGCTTAGCACAAGTAAACTCTTAATGTTTAATGATTGACTGGTGGGGACAGAACCAAAATCAGAGAGGAGTTGAAGAGAATCACAAAATGTCAGAGATAAAAAGAATTTTAAAGACTCTCTAGTCCAATGCTTTCATTTTACAAATTGAAGAAACAAAACTCCTGACAGATTAAATTACTTGCCCAAGGTTATATGGCTAGGAAGTTGCAATGGTGGAACTTAAACAGGTGCTCTGACTTAAAGTCCAAGAAGGAAAAACCTGAGGAAATCTGGTAGCAATGAGTGAAGTTGCCTACATGCTATTCAGTTCTAATGGCATGAGAGGAAAACAAAAAGAGTCGCTAATTCTTCATACCCCAAATTCTTTTTTTAAAATTTTTCTCCCCCTCCCTTCCCACCTCCCTCCCCAAGACAGCGTGCAATCTGATATAGGCGCTACATATACATTCCTATTAAACATATTTTCACATTAGTGATGTCCGAAGGAAGAATAAAAATCAATAGAAGGAACCACCAGAAAGAGGAAACAAAACAGAAGGAAAAAAATAGCAAATAGTACGCTTCAATCTACATTCAAACTCCATAGTTCTTTCTTTGGATGTGGATAGCATTTTCTATCATGAGACCTCTGGAGATGTCTTAGAGAAGGGCTAAGTCTTAGATCCTTGCATTGCTGAGACAGGCTAAGTCTATCAACGTTATTCATCGCACAACACCGCTGTTACTGTGTACAACGTTCTCCCGATCCTGCTCACTTCACACAGCATCAGTCCATACAAGTCTTTCCAGGTTTTTCTGAAGTCCACCTGCTCATTATTTCTTATAGCACAATAGTATTCCATTACATTCATGTACCACAACTTGTTCAGCTATTCCTCAGTTGATGGGCATCCCCTCAATTTCCTAATCTTTGCTACCACAAAAAGAGATGCTATAAATATTTTTGTACATGTGGGTCCTTCTCCTGTTTTTATGATCTCTTTGGGATACAGACCTAGAAGTGCTACTGCTGGATCAAAGGGTATGCACATTTTTATAGCCCTTTGGGCATAGTTCCAAATTGCTCTCCAAAATGTAGATTTTAATAAGCAGCTATACATTGTTAGGCTAAAAATATATTAAATTCTATTGTCAACTGAATATTGGGGGGACAATAATTATCTTAAAGACAAAATTCTAGGCTATCAACATGGCTATTTCCTCTCAGATTTGTACAAGACTTACGAAGTGAGATTCCTGCACAAAAGACTAGGCAAAGATAAATAACATCAAACTAAAAAATATGTAAGTATCCTGCAATGTCATCATGAAAACTACTATGGAGAGGACTATCGGAAGGGCTGTCATGTGGAAGATGCATTTGATTTACTCTATGGCCAAAGAGGACAGAACTAGGATTGATGGAGAAGTTAAAAAGGAGAGGACTTAATTGTTTGGAGAGCTTTAATTAGCTTTCCAAAAATGGAACCAGCTGCCTCTAAAAGTAATTGATTTTGCATCACATAGTGTCCAAAGCTGCAGACTTCAGAAATAAGCTCTTCATTTGTGTACAAGGAGAAAAATAGTTTTAAGTAGAGACTGCATGACCATTTGTGGTGGATATTTTAGGGGAGATTTCTGCTTAAGGTAGCAATGGGACCAGATGATCTCTAAGGTCCTTTCTAACCCTAGATGCTTGAGAGTATAGGCATTACAGGTAAGAGAGAACTTAGAGGTCATTAATCCATTCTAACCTCCTCATTGCACAGATAGGGAAAATGAAGCCCCAAAAAGTTTAGTGACTTGCCCATGGTCATCTGGTTAGTAGCTGTAACAGAATTTGAACAGAGGTCTTCTTACTCCAAACTTACTTACCACACCATGGCTGCATCCTGCCAGTTCTAACGTTGTGTATTCTAAGATCCTTTCCAGTTTTATCATACTATGTTCAAAAGTCTCTTTTAGTTCTCATATTTCTGCAGTCTAAACTTCTTTATTCTACAGCCCCTTCAAGCTTCTTCCAATTTTATATGTCCTAAGGTCCCTTCCACCTCTAAAATTAAGAGTCAGTGACAAGTTTCATTTCTCATTCTGGAAGTATGATTATGAGAACAATGTAAGACCTATGGGTTTGATCTTGTTTTCTGGCTATTAAAGAATGCAAACAAGGTCTTGAAAAGAAGAATGACACTGATCATTAAAGGAGATTTAGTGGTGTGTCACTCAGAAGTATTTCTTATCCTATCTGGGAAAAGAAATAAAAAAATCTACATAAGGTACTGTCCCTTTGAAACCAGCATCCCAATCCCTTTATGGAAAAGCCTAATCCATTAATGACCACATCCTCCTCATATGCCAAGATATGGAGCAATCCATACGGAATTAAAAGCTATGCAATTTCATTCCAGGATTTTGTGATACTATAAAAGCATGTATGTGCAGTTGTGCACACTTGCACCCCAATGTGAAAGAAAAATCAGCTACCATTCTGACATAGCCTATCACCTGTCATAGTGTTCTCCTAGCGTGACTGGGACAATGACATCTGACTCATCCTGGTGTTGGTGGAACTTGCCAGAAGAGTAGCACTCATCCCATCTAGTCACATTCATTATCAAATTTTCAAATCTCTTGTCATTAAAGCGATAATGCAAACACTTTGTAAAATTCAAAGTGCTACTTCTTTAAAAAATGGGAAGTCCACAGATGTGGATTATTATATACATTTTTAAACTTTTTTAATGCAATGATTGGTTGTATGGCTTTTGCTCTTCTTTCTCTTTTTCTTAAAAAAATAGTATACATTATATGGGTTGGCTCTCTTGAAAGGAAAAGAAGGAGGGATACTGAGAGAAATGTAGGTGGTACAGGAAAAAAAGATATCAACAAAAATGTATTTTGAAAAATATAAGTGCTAAATAAATATCAGGTACTACTACTATTTCCAAACAGCAGAACAGAGGAGTAGACGATCACTAAACTGAACAAGTATACCTAAAATCCCAGTGAAATGACACGCTAGACTCCTATACTGTAAAGGATGATAAGGATCAACAGCCATTAGAGGTTGCAAACTACTAATCACTATAAGACAGAATGCAGTAACAGTAAAATGTTGGGCAAATATAAAATTAACCACTGTAGTACTCTGTGTATTCTAACATGAGTGAGAATAAATTATTCATAACAAATAACTCACATTTACTTAGCATTTTAACATTTACTTTAACATTTAACACTACGTTGCAGGAAGTACAAGTATTGTTATTCCATTTTACAGACGAGAAAAATAAGGATAATTAAGGCAAAGTGATGTGTTCGTGATCAATCTTCTCATGTCAAGTAATAATGGGCCCAGACAAAAATGGAATATAGGGGGGAAAAAACACAAATGGGATTGAACCCAGAAAATCTTAACTTTACTCTGTTACCATTGGTAAGTCAGAGAACTATTCTATGTCTCAGTATCTTCATTCAGAAACCAGAAAAACTCGTGCCCTACTTACTTCACATTTATTTTGAATTCTCAATTAGAGAGTGTCAAATAATATTTAAAGAATGTTACAGTTGAACTGTTTAGTGCTGAAAGGACCTAAGAGACCATCTCATCCAACCCACTCATTTTTATAAACACAAGCAAGGCCCACAAAAGTAAAGTCATTTGAACAAAGTCATAAAACTTCTAAGCGCCAGAGCGTGGATTCAAACCCCGGCCATCTGACTGTAAGGTCAATATTCTTTCTACTACACCATGCTTCCTTTAATACATCTTTTTTAGGAATGTTATCAATTTTTAACATGAAAATGTGATAGATAAAGAGATAGACAGACAAGCAGAACACTGCTTTCAAAATAACTGAACTTAAGTTTCTCTAGAAGATATGAGGACACAGCAGCTTTACATACCTCCATGTCTGGTTTAAATTTATCTTCAAATACAGCCATTGCTGCCAAAGACCCAGAACCTATAAGAAATAAGATTCATCTTATTAGAGTTAAAAGGGATCTTAGACATTGTCTAATCTAACCTCCTTGTTAGAAAGATAAGGAAACTAAGGCCCAGAGAAGAAAGTAATGTGTCCATAGTCACATAGCAAATTGGAGGCAGAAGTGAGTCTTAAAACATAGGTTTCCTAATTTCTCAACCAGTACTCAAAAAGATTTACTTAGTTTTCTTGTGTAAAAGATGCCTGATTTCTCCACATCTATGCTACTTTTAGGGGAGATATTGACAAAGGGCAAAATACCACAAAGTTGCATTCAAATGTGAAAAAATGCTCAATCCTAATTGGACCATATATACCCAGCATATTCTTCTTCAAATAATATTCACACTTACAAAACTTGCAAAAGCCTGGTACTAGCCCTGCTTTAACTACTAGCATGAGTGAGAATAAATTATTCATAACAAAATAATAACTGACATTTACTTAGCATTTTAATATTTACTTTAACATTTAACACTATGATACAGGAAGTACAAGTATTATTATTCCATTTTACAGATGAGAAAAATAAGGATAAGTAAGGCTGACATGTGTCCATAATCAATGTTAATAAGAGCTAGGACTCAAATCCAGGTCTTCCAGGTCTATGCCCAGTGTTCTTTTCAACTATTCTACACTGCTGAAGCATGAAAATGAGGTTAGAGAGAATGTATAAAAGAAATACACAAAAAAAGAGAGAATGCCACATCACTTTAAATATTCTGCTCCGCTTTGATTCCTATGGCCCACATTTCTTCTTTGGCAGGTTGTTGGGTATACTGCTAAATACCATGCCAGAAGACTAGATTGTTTTAATGAGCTGTCCTGGTAACAGCCACCTTGACACACAGGGAGGACACTAGCATACCAGCAATGACACATTGGGAAGAAAGTAGTGTCCTGGCAACAGTAATGGGACCTCAAGCTGCTGCCACCACACTCTTTCACTACTCCTGTAGAGCATGGCTTTGGGACAATTATTTTCAGTCTGTGCTCTGAAAAGTAACAACTGAATAGCCCCAAAATGACAGACAAGGAAACAAAAACACATTATCTCAACAGTGATTGGTTCAAAGGTTATGATTGCATTGATGTAACTGGCTACCAAATTCATCTCAAGTAAAGTGCTACGGAGATCCCAGTATTATAAATAAGTACATGCTCCCAACTCATGGATATTTTAAAAAAAAAAAGGCAGCTCAGCACCATTTGAAATTTTAAACTTGCTTTGTTCAGAAAAGAGTGACTCTTTAGAAAATCATCATCTTATCTTTACTGGATCCTGGCAATATTTCAGGATGCTCTACTTCAGGAGCAAGAATAAAGTTGGTTACAATTTTTTACTCCAATTAGAAGATTTTTTTGGCATTTATGACTTTTTAACTTGTTTTGCATACCACTATCTATTTAGCTGGGTCACAGAGAAAACCATATTTTCTATTTAAAATGATTTGTGTACATCGCTTGACCACCTCAATGGTTTTAGCAAAGGAAAAAGGCAGCGATTAAACAGTTTCAAATGAGGTGTCCTGCTGATTTTATCAAGTCGGCTGAATGTATAATGAAAAAGGAGCCGCTGACAGTGACACCACATTGAGAAAATACAGACTGCCTTATCTGAACCATTTAAGGAGGTCCAATTATAGATCAAATTTAAAGGGTAGAAACAGCAGATTTACAGACACAAATCAATGAACATGGTAATCCCAATGAATATGACAGATACTCCTGTTATGGAATATTGCTGTGGTTGAGGATCATTACCTTTACAGTACCAAATACATCACATCTAAGAGCAGTAGGAAGCAGGGAGTGTGGACCTGTATTACAAGCAATGACTATTCATTCAGGCATTGGAGCAAAAGGCAACTCCAATTTCTTTTCTTATCCCTCCTCCTTTAAGAAAATTAAAACTGAAAATTAAAGAACTCTTAAGAAGCCTTTCAAAAAGGGTGGAGATAAACTAGATACATAAAACAAGGCTATCACAACAAATCAGTATAAGAATCACCTAATGTTAGAGTTAGAAGAGACCTTGGAAAACAGAATGTTAGAACCCAGGACATTAGAGTTGGTAAGGCCTCAAAATAATGTTAAAGATGGAAGAAACTTTGGCATATAAAACAGCAGAACCAAAAGGAACCTTAGAACAGAATTTCGAAACTGGAAAAGGACCTTTGAGATCAGTACTCCAAATTGTAGATTAATAAAATGAGTCCCAGTTGCAGCCCAAGTGGAGAAACTGAAAGGTGAAGTAACTGCTCAAAGTCACAAGTTCAGTAAGCTTTCCACTAGGCATTGCCTCCTAGAAAATTCACAATATCCTCCATCCTCAAGAGCCTGAAATTCAACTCAATTCAACAAACATGAATTAAGCAACTACTATGTGCAAGGCACTCTGGTGGCTCTGGCTTTACAAAGACAAAAAAAAAAAGGAAAGAGTCCAGGACCTCCAGGAGCTTATATTCTCCTGGAAAAAATTACAATCTCTGACATATATGTAGCTATTTTAAGGTTTGCAAAATGTTTTACATAATACAGTATTTTATCATTTATATATCACAACTCTGAGAGGTAGGAAATAAAGAAAATATCTTTGCTCCATCCATCTTCTTATGAAACACACCTTCAGTCTGAGATCTTTGGAACAAAGGAACTAGTAAACAAAGCTACTGTTTAAGACAATCTGCACACAGCTTCAGACTTCAGGGATAAGTTATCCAGCTGGGCATAAGGAAGAAGAGAAAAGGACTCTACTTATGAACAAATGAAAAGGTTACAATATAGGGTACCACTAATGTTTTACAGCAATAAAAATTATTATTGCCAGAGACACAAATAGTAAATGTGTCTTATTTTCAAAAATCTGCTCCATGAGTTTAAAGTAAAGAGGATCCAGAGTACTATTCCTAGAGAGATCAAAAACTACCAAGCAAAAAGTACAGAGTAAATACTGTAAAAAATTGTAATAAGTTATGTTTAAAACAAGTAGAACTGCTTATTACCTTACATATGAATAGTGCTTTAGAGTTTTCAAGTTTTCACATATATTATCTCATTTGATCTCCAAAACAGTACTGTGAGTTAGTCAGTAACTGAACATTTACTAAAAGGCTTGTTATATGTATGAGGGAGAATACTACAAGTATCAGAAGGAAGAAGGTGAGGTTAGAGATCTCATTTTCTTTATTTTACCTATGAGAAAAAAATAGGGTCCAGAGAGGGCAAGATGTTTCTAAGATAACAAAGCTGATAATTATTAAGGGTAAAAACTTGAGCCCAGGTTTTTGAACATGAATTCAATGTTCTTTCCATTACTAAAAACATCTTGGATAGGCCTTATAAGAATCATTAAGCCTAAAGAAGATTGGCAAAAAATAGGGTTCTTAGAACAGCATGTTATAGCATATATTCCAATGTAAGTTCCAAATGGATATTTGACCTAAATACAAATGGTCCCACTCAAAACTTTAAAGGGGAGAGGGGAATGGATGGCAATAACAAATTGACAACCATTATGGCTAGAAGGAGAATTCTGAACTAAAGCACAGACGCCATCACAAAATATAAAATAGGTAATTTTTATTACAAAAAATTCAAGTTTTTGCATGAAAAAAATCAATGTAGCTAGGATAAGAAGAAACTGTTCAATGAGAATAAAAAAAATTTTGCATCAAATATCTCTGATAAACACCTGATACAAAGTAATAGGAAATTAACAAGTATATACGTGCATGCATATACATACATACATATACACACACACACACACACACACATATATATATGACCAAGAGTCAACAGTTAAGTAGCCAAACGGTATAAACGGTTCTCAAAAAATTACAAAATTTTAACAACCACACGAAAGATTGCTCTAGAACACTAAAAAAAGAAATGCAAATCTACCTCATTAGAATGCAAGCTCTTTGCCAGTGCGGGTTTCATTCTTTGTACTTGAATCCCCAGGGCCTAGACCAGAGCCTGGCACAAAAGCACACAATAAACACTTGTTGATTGCTGATTAATTTTTTTAAATAAAAACAACTCTGAGGCTTCACCTTATACCCAAGAAACTGACAAAAGCTGGCAAAAAAGATGGGAATACTAAGTCATGGAGGACTGCAGAAAGATAAGCAACAAATGCACTAAAGATGGACCTGTGAACTGGTTCCACCATTCTGGAAAGCAATTTGGAATTATTCTAAGAAAATGACTAACATGTCCATACCCTTTGACTCAGAGACTCCACTGCTATGCATGTATGGTCACATGAAGAAAAAAAGACACATATCTATTATATTTACAATACCACTTTTTGTTGTAACAAAGTAACAGAAATAAAGACAATGCTCTGACTGAAGGATGGCTAATGTGGTACAAGAATGTAGTAGAATATTACTTTGCTGTAAGAAATGACGAATATAAAGAATAAAAAGACTTATATGAAATGATGCAAAGTGAAGCAAAACCAGGAAAACAATATGCAAAGTAACTGCAAAAATATAAATAGAAAAAATAAAACTAAATTGAATGCTGTATAATTATAATGATCAAAGTGCGCTCCAGAGAAGAGATGAGAAAATCACTTTCCTCCCTTTCATTAGTGAGGTGGGGCACTATGGGTATGGAATGCTGCCTATTCTATCAGAACCTCTTTGAAGTTTTGGCTGTTTTTTTTCTTTCTGAATCTTTGATAAGAAGGCAATGCTCGAAGGCAGTGGAAAGGAGATGATATTCAGAAATGAATATGATTTTTTTCAAAGGCAACAATTATTTTTCTAGGTTTCAGTTTTTACCTCCCAACTTAACCACTCACAGATCAAATGATTTATGACTGGAAAGACCTTACAGGTAGATCATCTAGCCAAGTGGTGTCAAACTCAAATAGAAACATATTCTTGTCGGCCACATATTGACTTAGAAAACAACAAATTAACAATTATATTTTTTATTTTGTCAAATTATTTCCCAAATTACAT